CTGCTTGGGGAGTGGAACAAAGGTCTCCTTGGGACGAGTTACCGTCGTTGACGTCAAGAAGAACCAATAAACGCGTGTCTACATCGTAACCTACTTGGTCTTACAACGACAGCCTGCCTGAGCAGGAGCTCTCATGTATTCATAATGTTGTGCTTAAAAATGCGTACTACCAAGGGGAATCGAATCACCGACTTCAACTGGTTTTTTTTTATGCTGTAGGGAGAGCCGCCACTTCTGTTTTACTAACTGAAGCTTCTGTCTGAACTATAATCGGAGTTTGATGGGAAGTCTTTTTAGTATAGAAAGAGGATAGTTCTGATCAGACCTCCACCATGAGCAGATTCTCGCACCTGATGGATGTCTTTATGGCATGTCGATCAGTTCAATGCCAGTTGAGACTGGTTGCTTGCTTGTAGATTACTGACAAGCAGAACTGAACCAATGACCTTCCTCCATTTAAAGTTTTGATGTCCGATCCGTTGAGTCTCCTGACTGTTTTGTGAGTTATATCACTTAATCGATAGGTCAAGCAACTGGTTTGTCGTTCGTTATCGTCCCAGGCAAGTGTACCGTGGTTGGTTACTCGTAACTTGCTGAAAACATTCATCGTCATAGCATTGATGAGGGGCGTATTGCTCTTCTAGGTCCTGTTTACACATCTTCCGTTACGACAGGAAGGTTTTTCCTTATACCCAACTAATTTGTCCGTGCATTTTTTTCTTAGGACACCTTCTTCCTGAGCGCTCAGGAGTGCATCACCGCAGCCTGCCTTCAAAATTTGTTTCCCAATGTCTCCAAGTATAGCCCAGATGGACACTTTGGCTCCAAGTTTGTCACCGTTGTAGTCACTGGCGGTTCCGAAAACCAGATCAGTTTCGAGGCCTACCAGGTTTCCAATGTAGCAATGTCTCTTCAACGCGCCAACATTTTGCTGCCCACATATGATGCGCCGGAACTGGGGTACATTCGGGACACTACTAAAGAGCAGTTCGTACCCGACGTCTTTTACTCAGTAAGTTTGCAAATAGCATGTATTACGTGAGGGGGGGTATAATTTTCGGCTCCCTCCCCATGTGTGATTCGAGCCTGAGACTATCACGTTGAGCTGAGCGCCGTGGCCTGGAAGGCTGCCAACTGACTGCACTCAGATCTCGCAGCCAGCCCAATGTGCGTTTGTGTGGAGTGGCCGGCATGCAGCGTGAGAATCAGGCTGTAATGACTCCTTAACATGAGCTCTGACACCCTCATACATGTGAGCCGCGCACAGTCCCCTCTT